TACTTTTTTCTTTTTTTCACAATATGTGCCTCATCGCTAATTTCCTAGAGTTTCAGTCAATTGAAACTAGGAGAACATTGAAACGGCTGCCTATCCTAACTAATATATCTAAAACCATCACTCTTTATGATAGTTTTAAATGCTATAAATTGGAAATGTGTTTATAAACCGCTAGCTCTCATAGAGCACTCGAAGATTCGTTTCCGCTTGCGCGCCGCAACGAGCAACGAATCATGTAGACATCTGTCGATAAAATAAATCTTTATAAAAATAAAGAGTGACTTCAAGATGTTTTTAGATTAATAATTTATCTTCTCGCCCCACGTTCCACACTATGGAATAATAAAAGCGCGAAACTATGATAACGTCACAGTTTTCAGAGGGCAGAAAGTCATGTAAAGTCAACATGCGTAACACAAATGGCGTAACCATATAAAGATACAAACAATATTTATATTATTATTGCGCACATTAAACACCTCAAATATATTGTAAACTTTTATAAATCTTTATTTGCGTAATTTGTATTTTACTATCAAGATAAAATAATTTTCACATATCACGGAAGTACGCCATTTGAGTTGATATTAATTGTGACGATAACCCTGTGAAAAACAGCGAACCAAATTCTTAATTACAAATTGTACACTGCGATTTACCTAAACTTAATTCCTAAAGTAACAAATGTGTGAGGATGAACCATCAATATTTTTTTATCTTTATAAGAAATGAAATATTTCTGTAAAGCGGAAAATTGTAGAGTTCATTGACTGGATGCAGGAAATACAACAGACGAGTCAATGTTGATTTTATTTCTTATAATAATGATTATGTGCGTTTACAGCTCGTCCTTCCTTGGCACATCATCGTCCTCATCTTCTTCCTGAGCCTGTGACGAAATAAATAATGAAGAATAATTGTAATATAAGATTATGCCTCATAAAATTCTAAAAAATATTCTCGGCATAATTTATTATCTTTTAGCAAAAAATTTTTGTACTATTTCTTTTCAATTAAAAATAATTCCTTGACATACCTCTTCTGCAGCTTCGCCATACGCGCCACCGCTTTCGATAAATTTGGAAAGACCTTCAAGCGTCCTCTCTCCGTTATATTCCACAGCCTACAGCAACAAAATAAGTTATCAAAATAAATACACATTTCCAGCGTACTGTAAATATAAGGTTGAGGGATGGATGTACGAAAGGTTCGTACCTCATTCGTCTCTTTCTTATAGAGTGTCAGCGTAGGGAAGTTCAAAACCTTTATATCTTCCAACTCGTTAGCAGTGGCATCCATTTTTGCGATAACCAATTTATCGTTGTCCTTGTATTTTTCGCCAAGCTAAAATTAACATGTTCGATAATTAACAAAATTACTTATCAATTACCTGTATTATCTGTATCTATTACAATTAAAATTCCAACGTACTTGGTCATAAATGGGCGCTAACTGCTGACAATGACCGCACCAAGGAGCGTAGAATTCAACAAAAACATCCTTTTCCTTGTCAAAGGCAATCTCGTGGAAGTTCGTGCCTACGAGAACCTTAACCGGGTTCTTGTCCCAGTCCTCCGGCAAGTCTTGGGTAAGCAGGTGTCGTTTCAGTTTGCCCTCTACGAAAGCAGTGACAAATTCCAGGACATTCTCGGTGGTTATCTCTGGTTTATCAGGCTTGTACTTAGCCATGTCCTGTTCAAGCTTGATAAGCCGCATAGCGGGCACATCATCTTTTTTCAAACCGAAGAACTCCAGAATTCGTTCGTGATCGGTTTCATCACAATTGATTGTCACAAACAAAACCTATGCATAGATATTTTAAAGCATTATATCAATTCTTTTTTAAAATGATATAGTGAGATGAGTGATGCCTAAACTTTCATACCTCGCTACGGTATTTCTTCGCTGGCTCTTGAATTCCTTCGATATATTTTTCAAAGTGACCAGCTTCTTTACTGAGGAAAAGCAACAAGTGGCTCTTGATATCTCCACTGAAGATCTTCTGCGCCGTATCCTGGTTGAATTCGACAATCAGAGGTAACGAAAATACGGAGATGAAGTTCTGTACAGCTGTAGTCGTATACTCTCCATCAAAGACGGCTTTACCTTCATCGAACTACAAAGAATACAGATTAATCAGATTTGAGATTATAATTTCAAAAAATAGAAATTTATTTGATTCATGATTGTTTTAATATTGATATTATACAGTGCACTGGTCTAGACGTACCTTCTTAAATAGCACGATCTTTCCATCTTCAATTCCGTATTCGCTGAACACTTCGTCGGCGCTTGTAATACCAAACACATGATCATCTACTGTGCTACCAACTTCCAAGAATACCTTGGCGGCATCACTTGTAACGTCCTAATAAAGTTATATAAACTGTAAGCTATTGCAACAGATTACTCCTAATTATTATAGTAATTTATAAAAACGAAGGATATTCAGGATTAGTAGATAAAAAATAGAAAATTATTGACGTGAGAAAAGGATCGCAAAAAGGAAGATTGCGATTGTACCTTAAAGAATCCAACAATGGCGACTTTGTGTGCCTCGATAAATGCTTTAGCTTCATCAACTGTGGTCAGATCTTTAGCAGGAGGACCAGTCTTCTTGAGCAGCCAGTTCACAATTTCGTCAGCCTGACGGCCACCGGTGTAGTCGATCTGGATTCCTTTACGGTAAAACTTGAGAGTGGGATATCCTCTCACTAAGTGTTTCTCAGTGAGTGCCGATTCGACTGTCGCATCGATTTTACCCAATTTGATTGGTGAGTTAGTTTCCTCTAATTTCTTTGCCGCCTTAGCATACTCGGGTGCCAGTGCTTTACAGTGTCCACACCATGGGGCATCTACGACCAAGAAATATACATATTACATGTGTATATAAATAAGCTGTTGTGATTATTTTTTAGTATTCCTGATTATTATAATAAAGTCGTTATACGCTAATAATAATTTAAAATGTGAAATGTGTACTATTAGTAGATAAAAATAGAAACTTATTGTCGTGACATAAGGAACATAAGAAAGGACCATTACTTATACCTTAGCCTTAAAGAATCCAACAATGGTGACATCATATCTCGATAAATATACCTCAGCTAAATTATATGTAATTTAGATAATTATATATAAATAATTACCTAAACGTTTAACATAAATCTAATTAGTCTCGTATATTGAACAAAAAATGTTATCAAACACTTACTACAAATTTTGTCAACAAAAAGGCACCAAATTTAATACAAATTTTGTTATATTTTATGAAATTAGCAGCAAATATACAACAAAATTCGCTGACAAAATATAACAATAAATTGAAGAAATCATACAAAGCTTATTGACAATCTGATAAATTATCAGTGATAACAAATTAAAGAACCGATTAAAACCAAAATTAACTAAAATTTGGCTCGATTTGTGTTGATAATTTGTTTTCAAGTTATATCAGTAAGTTGTGCCAAAACTTAATGTGGATATACAAGCTTAATATGGATATAGTTAAATTTATTAAATATTTTGATCAAATTTAGCAGTAAATTGCAAATATTTTGACTGAAAATAAGCGAAGAAGGCCATACTCAGTCAAAATTTTGATGCCTATTAATACTTTTGCGTGAATCTTACAAATATAAATGTGGTTTATTACGACTTGGGAATACTTGTTGGCATATAAGAGATATATATAATCATCCAATTGCAATTTCTATTTCAATATTACAAAATTTAATTTTTCAAATGTTTTTCTCATGATTGATAAGTTAGATCTAAAAATTATTCTGTGGCTTTATATATCTCCGGAGAATAAGATATATTAAGATTCATAGATTTGGAAGAAATAAAAAAAATGGAATCATGTTCAGTTCTAAAAAACAAACAAAAAAAAAAAGAAAAATATCAAAGAATCGTCTAATACTGCTTTATTTCAAAAATTTAAATCGTATTCTCGAAATATTCTAAACATTTGCTCGTTAACATCGAATTATTGGGATACCATATGGTCGTTTAAGTTTTGAAGACAAAATGATAGATAGCGATCTAAAATTGATAATCAGCGTAACGAACTTCGATTCCGCGCGCGATAAAAGAAAACAATTAATTCTTTCCGTTAATCATTTATGAATACTGCGTCCATATAAATATAGAATATGTCCGTTACAGCCGTCATTGTCCTCGTCATCAACACCATTATCATAACGTGACGTTACATTCGGTCTCATAATCGCCAGACGATTTGCAAGACGTATACGACCGTATATAACGGTAAAAAAAAAGCCAAGAAGTGAGAACCGTCTTTGCAGCTGCTCTTCCTGCACTCGAGCTCTCGACGAACGCGTAGAATGAGAGAAAGAGAGAGGAGGTACAGAAAGATCAACGGAGAGAAAAATGTTAGAAACGGAGGCTGCGAGGGGGCGACCGAAGGACGCTGGACGCGATGAATAAATATCGATAAATAAATATAGACGACCGTCTCGAAGACGCACGTCGTCCAAATATGGATCTACTCGCACATTTTACAATTTTTTTTGTTTTTCCTTGTGACCGATTTCCACAGATTTCCTCATCAAACGCCGAGAAAAGCAGAAGGGGGGGGGGGAGAGAGAGAGATCGCGAAAAGAACGGAAATTTCGGAATTCCAAAAGAGGTTTAGAAGACGAAGTATTTCGGCCGAGAGCCGAAAAGTCGCGTGTCGCTAACCGGTCCCCCATCACCGTCCTCGAGGATGCCCGAGTGATGACGTGTACGGGGTTCGCATCTGGCAGAACCGGCGAACCTGCAAGCGAGCTCGGCAATTCGCACGGTAGATGTATCTCAATATTCCTGACGTGGATTCGTCTTCCTCGACGTCCCCGTCAACTTTGACTCTTCCAGTCCTTTCTTCACCCTCCGGTGCTCTTTCAATCATCTCCGGTCGCGAGTACAGAAAGTGCAGGCGCGAGGGTGCAGCTCCTCCGCGGAAAAGCAACAGATACAAGGCGTACGAACTGCGGTGAGCGCACGCGAATTCGCGATTCGCACTCGGAGCCGCGCTCCGAGGAAACCGGGTTTCAAAAAAGAACTTCACCCGGGCACTATCTTATCTTTCTTCAACCGAATGTTAACCAAGGAAAATGATGCCCCGAGTGCATCCGGTACAAATTCAGTTCTGAACACGACTAAAGCGCAGCGAGGAGACCATACATATTATACTCACAGAACTCGAGGAGCACGTAATCGTTGTCCTGGATGACGCTGTCAAAGTTGTCCTTGGTGACCACGAGGACCCCATCCTCGACTTCGACCTTGGCGAGGATGGTCGCGACCAGGCAGAGCGCCGTCAAACAGAATACACCGACGGATTTCATGACGATCCGAATATCTCACTTTCTTTTCTTTTGCCTATCTTTCTCTCTTTCCTTCGCGTTTCCTGCGCGTCGAAGCGCGACCTGCCTCGCTGAGACGAAGACGTCGTCGGGGACGAGGACGAAAGAAACCGGGAAGACACCACCGTACGCGAGGAGAACGCGCGATGAATGAGCGACCGCGACGCTGCGTCGGCGGGTTGATTGGAGGCCGAGGCTCTCCAGTCTCGTCGGTCTCGTCTCGCGTTGGCTCCGCGGCCTCATACGCGTGGCATCGTCCTCATCGTGGGGGTCGCTGATTGGCTGCCTCCCCCGGCATCCGCGGCCGCCCGTCATCCCCGCGCGTCATCGCTCCGACCTGACTTCGATTCCGGCCACGACCGGCATTACCCACTGCCGCGCCGGTCGCGAGATTTAAGTCCCAATTAAGTCCTCGGTTTAATTTAATTAATTGTATACCTTGAAACGAGATAAAAATGACAAAAAAGCGAGCAAATTCATTCGGATATTGATCAATAAAATTATAAATATTCCAATAAATTCATTCACTTTTGTAATTTATTTTATCTCGTTCCGAGATGTACAATTGACCTCCCGACGGACGATATAAACTTGCAAATCAGCGACACAAGTAATCGTTGACAGATTAAAATAGCAACGAAATCGTGTTTTTTGTTCTTTTTTTTGCGAGAAAACCGCAATTTGACCTCGGTCGAAATCAGCCGCGGTTATCGCCACGAATTACCGTTCGACGATTAGCTCTAAATAATATCCCGGACAGATACAATCGAATAGGACGAAGGTCAGTTCAATTTTTATATTTTCTTTATTTATTCTTGCATTAATATTCAGATATACTGTTTGAGCAATTTGTATATTCAACAAATGGATAAATGATTTTAAAAAGCTCCAGTACGTGATGTTTTTGCAGCTTTATCGACGGCGCTTGGCTGTCAAAATCACATGGCGTCGCAATGGCACCGTACAAAAGCTTTACCGTAGTAAAGCGATATTGGCGATTTCATGATTTAACGATGCTGGATGATGTGGTCAAAGTGAGGAGAGACGAATGGGCTAGATTTTAAAGCCCGCAAAATCTATAGACATTATAAAGGTAGACAGATTAAGTTCAAATGACTCCGATCTCGATTTGATCGACTTAAAAGATTATAACCACAACATCTGTTGACGTTCGTGCAAACGCACGATTGAAGTAAATGGCAAAATGATAGGCACAGCTGACGAGAATGCCACGAGGAAGGCGGAGATTGAGATCACGTCGTCGAGGAAACAATTGTCCACTCAAAACGCGTTCCAAGGTGTAACAATTAAACCTCTTTTAATAGATTCATAAAGCGATTGATAATAGTATAGTATTTTTTCTTTTTATTTTCATGATTCTCTTTGTGATTCTCAAGAATATATGTTGAGAATATTCACGAATATTCATTGCGTTTTCTTTAAATGGAAGTGATTGATCTGAAAATAATTATCTAGTTTTTCTGGGTAGACAATCACCTGAGATGTTTTTACATCCCAAAAGTTATTATATATATATAATTATAGAATACACATATTAATCATTCTCTAAAATTATTAGTATAGATTTAGTTCAAATCCACAAAATTTTTGCATTTAAAACGAGTTTGGCGAAGAGAAAACAAAAATTATAAATGCAGAAAGTATAAATAACATTAGTATTTGAGATCATTATGTGTATAGATTTATTCAATATTTTCTAAAAAGTAAAGGAAAAGTATAGATTCTCGATCAGCAAAGAAAAATTACTATAGATGTGAAAAATATGAAAAATACTAATAGATGACTTTTATTTTCTTGCTGTTGAGGTACAAAAAATTAGATGGTTATTCCTTATAAGTTATAATATAATAAAATATAATCTTTTTAAAAGACAAAAATCTGGACAACAGATGTGGTAATAAAGGTATGAGCGCATGAAGATTGATAAAAATTTTATTCTCGTATAAATATTTATTGTTATCGATACATTTTATTGTCACTATAATATGCGTATCTTTTGTACGTCTTTGAACAATGAAACTCTGCAATCAGAAAATTATTGTAAATTGAGCAAAACAAGATTTTGTTAAACAGCGTAATTTTAACTTTGAAGATTGAACATAGATTACTCAATACAGTAATAACACAGAGCAAACGTGATAGTATAAGATTATGGATTATATAATTGTCGTGTTAAGACACAAATTCCCGAAATAAATGCAGTCACGAGGCTATAATATTGGTCAGTCACGACGCGCTTCATTATCGTGTCGTGAGCGTCGCAGCACGAAGTTGATTCCTGATTTATTTACGCGCGTTAATCCCCGACACGAGAGAGATATAATGCTTCACCGAATCTTTATCATTAATATATCTATACTACAAATGAATTAGTACGTTATGAGTGAAATATAATGAGCTATTATATCATCTACTTTGTACATATATTTATTAAATATCGAAAAATTAATAATGAAACTGTATGATGGCTTATATAAATAACCCGTAATATGATATATAATTAATAATTACGTAATATTTATACTCATCAATTTAAAAAGAAATTAAAAAAAGTTGATTAACATTGATCTTTTTGTTTGCTAAGACGACGATGCATAAAGTAACATCGGAAATATACACAGAAAATGATCAAATCTCTGAGGAGCTTGACAATGGCAGTAAGTTATGTTTAACAAATAATTGGATGATAAAAATAATGCTTGATGCACGTCCTAACGTTCAACAATTGGTTTCAGATGCGGTGACTGAATTCACTTTTAAATGCCCATCTTACATGATTGAGGCAGAATCCACAGCCGAGACGCTAAATTATGACAGTGACGATGATCTAGATGTAGATAGAGATAAAGAAGGAGTAATTCTAATAGGTACAGAATCAATTATCATGTATTCTCATGTGTATAAACATATTCAGTAAATTGTATTTACAGAGCATAGTGTATCTACAGAGCTCAATTTAGTCGGTTTACAAGTGTGGAGAGCCGCTCTCTTGTTAGCCGACTACATTCTGTCGCATCAAGACTTGTTTAGAAATCAAATAATTCTAGAATTAGGATCTGGAGTTGGTCTGACCAGCATCGTAGCGAGTTACTTAGCTAAGGAAGTCATTTGCACAGGTAATGAAAATACTAGTTGGAACCCGTCTGTTGAAAATTTCAATCCTATTTGTTCAAATATTCCAGATATCAACGTAGGTGATATATTAAATTTAATTGAACGGAATTTTCTAAGGAATTATACATATGTTAGATCGGGTTTTCATATTGAGGAAGTGAATTTTTTAAACTTAGAATGGCCTAACAAATTGGAGGAGAAATTGCAAAGCGCAAATATTGTATTGGCTGCGGATGGTAAACTTAATAATTGTATATTTTAACAATGTAAAATAGATATATAAGAAATGTGATTACTTCTTTTTTTTATTTATAGTGATATACGACGACAAAATCACGGATGGATTTGTTCGCACATTGACGAAACTTCTATATACGAAAAAGAAAAAGATAATTTACATTGCTCTCGAGAAAAGATATGTTTTCACTGTCGCCAATTTGGATACCATTGCTCCGATGTACGAAGAATTTTTACGTTGCGTCGAAAAGTACAAAATGAATTGGTCTGTAGATTACATTAATATAGATTTCCCGCGCTACTTCAAATATGATAGAGTCAAACATTTGGTTTTAATGAAGATACAGAACAATACAAGATCTGTTGCACATACATAACGAATAATTTTTTCAATTAGATACGCAAATAATATATTACGATAACAAGTAATATGTTATCGTGATTATCATAAAGTATGACAATATTCTAAAGAGAAAGAGAGCTTGCCACATTAAGAACAAGATCTCTATAGACATATATTTAACAAAATATAGTATCACAATTAATGTAAGTTGTAAAAAATAATTATATATTTAAAACAAGATTGTTTAATGAACATGTACGTTTGTCAATACATAATACGAAACAAACAGTAAAAATTTAGCACAATTTTTGAACATGATTTAATTTAAGCTAAGAAATTTCGAAATCATTCTTTTAATCCTTAGATCATTTTACATAACGAATAAGAAACGATAATCTAAGGATTAATAAAAGGAAAAAACATAGATATTCGGAGTGTGATAAAAATGACTATATAATATACATTTCTCACGTCCACATATTTATTTCGTCATTTAATTCCCTATTTACAACCTACCATGGATAATATTATTGGACAGTGAATTGGAAGTCGCTCGAAGAGAACGATAATTCCGTTGAACTTAAATGCTCCGGCGGCATGTCCTAAGATTAAAAAATTTCATTAGACTACCTACAATATAAAGAAGACAATATGTATATAGGAATGTAAGCGCTTCTTCGAACGACCACGGCAGTAGAAGTTGTATATGTTACACGCAAAGTCATAACATTTCTAATATGATATACTAGAGGTCTGAATCGCTCGCGAAAAAACGACGATCACTAAAGAATGAGTCGAATGATTAATCTCATTAATTATAATCGAACTGAGATGATTTCATGAAATTTAGGAATAACGATGAATAACTATCATTATTTTTTAAGTATCGTCGACCGTCGCTCTGCGAATTCAGGCCTGCGCTTGGTTTGGTAAAAGGCACTTTCACTCTACCGATCCGTCTCGATGTAGAAAATGTAAAGTATAATTTACAGCCTCACAGATTTTTTTTATACTTTTTTATGTACGTGTATGTACTGTGTGCATATATATGTTATACATTATATACATAATATATTATATTATATATTATATATTATTATATATACATATATGTATATATAATTGTTATATACAATTATGTAATTTATTAA